GAAAATAATTCTCTTGGCAGAGTTGTTTACAACAGTAGCATATACTAGTGTCTAGTGTTCGGCTAACATTAATAATGCACGCCTTTAACTTTTTTTACTTACCAATTTAATCCCAAGCTCATGTCACTGTTGATCATTCGCAGCAATGTGTGATGCTACATTTACGAATGAACTGTTTATTTTGGCGACAATTGGTACATGTACACTTCTTGATTTAGAATAGAGGAGGTGTTGAACAAATTTCCTAACATAGTTGTTTTTTTCAGAAATTGATTAAACATGATACTGTCTCTGCCTTGTATTCAATGCTCTGGAACTGCATGTCTCCAAGAGTTGTATGTTACGTTTTGTGGTAATGAGTCGCCATAAAGTCTTATGAAACTTGTGGTTTCTGTGTTTCAGGTGGAACATTTGCTCTTTATTCATTGCTCTGTCGACACGCAAATGTAAAAACTATTCCCAACCAACACCGGACTGATAAGGACCTAACGACATATAGTCGCTCTACTTTCCATGAACAATCATATGCTGCAAAAACCAAGAAGTGGTTGGAGAGGTATGCATCAAGGAAGAATGCCCTTCTTATTCTGGTCCTCGTAGGCACTTGTATGGTGATTGGAGATGGGATTCTTACTCCAGCTATATCTGGTACACATCCCTCCACAGTAGACGTTCTCCTGATCTGTCTCCTAATAATCCATCTGTGTTCATCCTTTATTTTTCTATCTGCGGTTTTTTGGAACCATGATTTAAAAGATTTTAATTAAGGAGAGGCCCAATGGTGCACAACCGATGTGCATAAGAAGTATATACACAAGGGGTAATCTAGAAACAGAGGAAAGCTAGAAGTAGATAATGTAGGGGTGAGTGTTGTTATCAGCATGGATAACAATCTCAAAAGTTAGCCCTAAGCTAATACGTAGAGTGCTGGATTCGGAAAGCTCTAACATATATTTCCAAACAGAAAATTAGTTTCCTCATCATACTTAAGGACCATGCCAAGAAGCAAGTGCCGAAGAATGTTCTTGGAAGCACCCATGATCCATAAATAACAAAATCACAAAGACCGACAAATCACATGACAGTGTATCAGGAAATGATTTGCTGATGTGCTGCATGCTTACGCAGTCTTATGTTTTCCATGTTTCTCTAAGTACTTCAATGATTTCCTTAGTAATCCATCAGTGTCCTCATTTTAAGGAGTTAATATCTTCACCGTTCTCAAGAGAGTGAATTCCATTAGTCTTGGTATCTGGCTGCGTCGCAGGTTTAATTGAAAAAAGAAAATTCTGGTTTCATGGATTGAAATAAGTGGAAGTTGGTTACCGTCACATAATCCTGTACTTTGTACTACCGGACATGATAGAGGAGTATTTTATCCATAGATAGAAGACAATTAAAGTTGGAGATTTAGGCACCACATAATTGAACAACATCTTCTATGTTATTCTCTTGATTTTGGAAGCAGAAAAAGATTGAAATGGGAAAAAAATTCTCTGCTTAAGATTTTCTACTTGTTTAACTGTTTACCATAACACACCTACTCAACTTAATTTACATAATTAGGAAAGTACAACTGTATTGCTTTTTCTTTTGTCTCGACTCATCCTTCATTCCCAATTATTGCGGTTGGCTACATTAGTTATCTTTCCTAAACAACACGGAGTCGTCTTTTTTGCTACTTAATTTGATCAAAAAGTGACACATGAATATAATTTTAAGTTAAAATTGTGTTATTTTCCTCAGGTCCATTAGAAAATGACTAACTATGCTTTGCTTTTGGCAGTTTTATCAGCTGCTGGTGGGATCAAAGTAAGCAGCCCTGGCATGAAAAGTGGTACCATTAGATTCCTTGGAGCTAAAGTTTGGTTTTTATTTTTTATTTTTTATATAATTGTCTAATTTTTATTATTGCTGCCTCTGCATCTTTCTCAGTCACTACTGTGAACTATTTCTTAACTTATACTTTCTTTGTTGTGGTACAGATTATGTCGTACTCGTTGCTGTTGTAATATTAGTAGGTCTGTTTAGCATGCAGCACTATGGTACTGATAAAGTTGGTTGGCTCTTTGCTCCCATTGTGCTGCTTTGGTTTCTCTTAATTGGAGGTATTGGCATATTCAACATCTGGAAACATGATAGTACTGTTTTGAGAGCTTTTTCCCCTGTGTATATATTTCGGTATTTTAAAAGGAACGGGAGAGAGGGTTGGATTTCCCTTGGGGGTATTATGCTTAGCATAACAGGTAAAGTTTTAAGTATCCTAGTTTCACTTTCCAACTCTTTAAGTTTCACCGAACTCTTAACACATCTGCTATGTTGGATTCTGATGGCAAATTCTGAATGATTACAGGGACAGAAGCACTCTTTGCCGACCTTGCCTATTTTCCAGTTTCAGCTGTACAGATTGCGTTTACTACAGTCGTGTTTCCTTGCCTTCTTTTAGCCTATTGCGGACAGGCTGCCTTCCTTGTGAAAAATCATTCAGACAAAATCCTGCTTCAAGCATTTTATCGTTCTATTCCAGGTTTGTTCTAATCTTTATTTTGCATTTAAAGGATGACCATGTTGTAAATGGTAGTACACATAAACGATTTTCTTGAAATTGAGGCATAACATTTTAAAACATAATTTTTGATGGAATTTAAAGAACATGCTCTTCACTCTTCAGTATCTTTCTTGTTGGGTCTATTTTTTTCTTTTTTTTTTGTACAATGGAGGTCAAAGGGGGATGGGCACACTCAATCTTCAACTTTGGGTGTCAGGATAAATACTAAATATTCTCTACCAGTCGGGCTATGAGTCCCCGCTTTTCTTTTTGAGAGATTACTCAATCAAAACTAATGTGATTGCTTTAAAGAAAATCATTAGAATGATATGACACAAAATTCATTTCATAGTCTTTGGAGTGGGTATTCAATATTTTTTGTATAGAATTTTCCTTGCCCCATTTCTCGATCTCCAACATAATCTAAGAAAAAGCACGGAAACGAGTTATATAGTGTCTTGTAAGTAGGCAGTGTGTTGTTCCAAATATGCTTACTGTTTCTCTTACTGCAGAAAAAATATACTGGCCAGTCTTCGTTGTTGCGACTTTAGCTGCTGTAATTGCGAGTCAAGCGACAATATCAGCAACTTTTTCAATAATCAAGCAGGCTCTTGCACTTGGCTGTTTTCCTAGAGTCAAAGTTGTACATACATCAAAGAAGTTCCTCGGCCAAATATATATTCCAGATATTAATTGGATCCTTATGATTCTTTGCATTGCTGTGACTGCGGGTTTCAAAAAACAAAGCCAAATTGGAAATGCTTATGGTAAGTAGTTCATCCTCTGCTAAATCTAGTGGAGCTTACGTAAGCTGTATTCTCTACTTTGTGAAACTGGACTCGAAGAACATGCAATGTAATTGCAAAAACTTCTTTGAAAAAGAAAATGGTTGAAAACTTCAAATAAAATAAGAGACGGGAGAAGTATTTGAGATAAACTAGGAGGTGAAGTAGTAGGGAGTTGGTGAACTATTTTGAGACAGTGTAGAGAAATAGTTACTGACCTGCTGTTGTGAAATTAATTTATGACGAATTTTATACTAGTATAAGTTCATCCTTCCAAAATAAGCTTGCACTCAATTGAGTTATATTTTATGTTGCAACAGGGACGGCAGTTGTAGTAGTCATGCTGGCAACTACATTGCTTATGACTCTAATCATGATATTAGTGTGGCGCTGCCACTGGATTCTTGTCGCGATATTCACCGGCTTGTCACTGCTTGTGGAATGCACTTACTTTTCTGCTGTACTCTTCAAGGTTGATCAAGGCGGATGGGTTCCTCTTGTGATTGCAGCTGCTTTTCTTCTCATCATGTATGTTTGGCATTATGGTACGTTGAAACGTTATGAGTTTGAGATGCACAGTAAGGTTTCAATGGCATGGCTTCTTGGGCTTGGCCCCAGTTTAGGACTGGTCCGGGTCCCTGGGATAGGACTTGTGTACACCGAGCTTGCAAGCGGGGTGCCCCACATCTTTTCCCACTTCATCACCAACCTGCCCGCAATCCACCAGGTTGTTGTCTTTGTCTGTGTGAAGTACCTCCCTGTATACACCGTACCAGAAGAAGAAAGATTCCTCGTCAAGCGGATTGGCCCCAAGAACTTCCACATGTTTCGTTGTGTTGCAAGATACGGTTATAAAGACCTCCACAAAAAAGATGACGACTTTGAGAAGAAGCTCTTTGAAAACCTTTTCGTGTTTGTCCGGCTCGACTCCATGATGGAAGGGTGTTCAGACTCAGATGAGTACAGCATCTATGGCCAGCAAACTGAGAGGTCAAGGGATTGCCTCTTAATTAATAATGGCAACACGACCACATCTACAGTAGACCTCACTATCTCATCAGTGGACTCAATTGTGCCGGCTAAATCTCCATTACACACGAACTTTACCGTGAGTTCATCAGGGCAGATGAGCAGCCAGAATGAGATTGAGGAGCTCGAATTTTTGAACGATTGTCGAGACTCCGGGGTGGTGCATATACTTGGGAATACAGTAGTGAGAGCAAGGAGGGATGCCAGGTTTTACAAAAAGATAGCCGTTGATTATATCTATGCATTTCTCAGGAAAATTTGCAGGGAGAATAGTGTGATCTTCAATGTTCCTCATGAGAGCCTACTGAATGTTGGACAGATTTTCTATGTGTAATTTTTTTATTATTGCAACTGCAAGTACATAGTATAATATTAGGAATGAAATTAAACAGTACAGAATGTTGCACCAAAAAAAAAAAAAAAATGTGTATCTATTTTTTGCTAGTCTTGTTAGACTTGGTACTTGTTTATAGCTTTTGACACGAGAAACATAAATTCTAGTATTTGACATTGGTCGAGAATCTTCGTAATTTTTTTTGTTTATAAGAAAACAATTCGAAACGAGTCTTTTTTTAACAGAAAGCGTGTCAAGTGCCAAGTTTTTTTATTTTATTGTCATAATACAATTGATGTTTTGAACTCTAGATGTTATAAAAAAAATGTTGAATTTTCTCAACGAACTGAGCGACAAACTCGTTGCCTTGCATGCCAAAGTTACGTGCTTGTTGCATTGTGTCACTGAATTTTCTCCAAAGGTCTTGTCTTGTACGTATTTCGTTTTAATTCAGAAGTGTTGCATCATTACATGTAAGCAATGCAAAATCTATAAATAGGCGAGGCAGCAAACCATCCTATTGCATTGCCCTCCCGAAAAACATGAGATGAGTAAAAATTCCTGCCCCTAATCCTCCACAAACTGTTGTCCCAAGCACCAAGCAAATTCTGGGGTACCAGAAGAAAGCAACAAGAAAAAAAAGGAAAAACAAAAACTACCCAAGTGAAGAAATTGAAAAATTGTTGCCGGATAGGTGACATTTGAGCAGGGGAAGAGGAACCCATTTGAATCAGTGAGTTGCAGATCACTGCAAACAATGTCTGACAATGGAGACCCTGAGAAAAAAGGCGGGGTCTGGGATTTGGATAAGCAGCTTGACCAGCCAATGGACGAGGAGGCTAAAACGGTCAGAAATGTGTACGGGGACCAGGTTTTTTTTCTCTCTCTCTCTCTCTCTCTCTATAAAACCAATAAATGTCAAAGCTCAAGTCTTTAATTTGTATAAGTTGTTGAGATAGGGATAAGTGAAACGAAATTGTCCAAAGGATTTCATTTTCAATTAGGAGAGAAACTTCGTTAATACCCCCACATTGGTTGGAGGTAACAGGGGTCGGGTGAGTCCAAAATATAGGTCCCATGCATATTTGTGTCCTACGAATGGTATGGTCGGGACGTCCTACCAAAGCTTTTCTTTTCAATTAGATTTAGTCAGAATTTTGTTATTGATTGTAAACTCTTTCATGCCGGGCATGTTCTCAATGTGCTACCTTAACATATATTTAAGGTTAACGTGTTTTTTTAGGATTAGCTTTGGTCCTGTTTCTGATTGCTTTTTGTTTACTTCAGACGTATTGTTCAGTGGGAACGGTTCTACAGCTTGCATTTCAAAGTCTTGGTGTGGTCTATGGAGATTTGGGCACATCCCCTTTGTATGTTTTCAAAAATATATTTCCTGCAGGAATCGATGCCCCGGAAGATTTACTCGGAGCTTTATCGGTCATCATATATTCCCTCACTCTTATCGTACTCGTGAAGTATGTTCTTATTGTCTGTAGAGCGAATGACAACGGTCAAGGTAAACTGATCTCAACCGATAAATTCCCTTTATACTAGTTGGTAATACTTGAAGAAGTGCTCAGATAATTGATCTAAATCTAACTATGCCGATTTATATAAAAGATTATGGATGGTTTTTCGAGCTTGTTCAGTTGTTTAATGTTGCCCCAGCCGTGCAGTTCATTTACTCGTTCCCTCTTCGTCCTCTTAGGGTTGATTGGTGGTTCTTATTTTTGTTTCCCTTGCGAAGAATTGATGGAAGGTTTTCTTCCCGAAGATTTGGTGAATTAGAAAGGGGGAGGAGTAAAGTCGGTGGGGGAGAGGGAGCAGACGAAAGTTTAGTGTACAAACATTATGTAAATGTGTACAACGCACCTACATAATAGAAACGTTTGACCAATATTATGCATCCTTTGATACATATACTTCTGATCTGATACTAGTATACTGAAACATGCAGTTTTCCGATATACATTCCTTCCGAATGAGGCAAATTCCTCTGTTGGATTCCACCAGCATTTAGTTTCTGTAATCTTATCCTCCTCGTGGTTGCAGGTGGAACATTTGCTCTTTATTCATTACTTTGTCGACATGCAAAAATAAAGACCGTTCCTAACCAAGACCAAAGTGATGAGGAGCTAACAACATTTAGCCGTTCTACATTTGGTGAGAAATCATTTTCTGAATGCACCAAGCGATGGTTGGAAGGACACGCAGTCATGCGGAACATACTTCTTATTCTTGTCCTGGTTGGCTCTTGCGCTGTGATAGGGGATGGGATTCTTACTCCAGCCATATCAGGTATACTATCTTCATGTAGTAGGATCAATCTTCTGTCTACGTATGTTTTTAATCTGCTTACAGATTCAGATCTTTTTCGACATATTGAATGTGAGTAGGTTACACAAGAAAGTAAATGAGATTAGGCAAGTATAAAATGAACAAGTGATGGGATAAGCCAGGTTTATCGGATACTTTCTGTAATTAGTAGACAACAGCGGAGAACTTCTTGTCTCCAACGATATTCATGTTGCCATTATATTGAGCATATGCTCCTAAGTTGAATATGTTATTCACTTTCTGTGGCTATCTGCACAACTTCTGCCAATCACATTTTCGTTGCACAAAAACCAATATGAAAGCGAGTTGTATGGATGAAATTTCAAACTTTTCTAGGGACATCTTCAGACTTCAGGGGTATCCCTTAGCGAACAATTTGTCTAAATTCAGGAGGAACTTTGAGTTGATTTTGCGCAAGCTTTATTTGTATAACTCGCTTTCATATCAGTTTTTTGTGCAATTTGTCTAGGGACATTAAGGCCTTGTTTCCATTGAGTTCAATTTGCACAAGGCCTTAATGTTTTCTTTAATGCAAATGAGGTGAGTATGATTCTTTCTCAGTTCCATTGAAAGCTGCTAAACCATATTCTATTTGATCAGTATATGTAATGCTAACCATACTATCTTTAACAGTTCTGTCAGCGGTCGGTGGGATCAATGTGGGACGGTCCCAGATTAGTAATGGTATCTTCATGCTCCCGGATGTAAAGTCCGTCTTTTATTTGCTTCATCCTTTCTGTTATTGAATCTATCAATGTTCCAAATCTGATCACATATTTTTATATACAGACGTAGTTGTACTTGTTTCTGTTGTTATACTGGTACTTTTGTTTATCGTGCAACAATTTGGTCCGGAGAAAGTTGGTTGGCTGTTTGCACCAGTTGTGCTCCTTTGGTTTCTCGTAATTGGAGGAATCGGCATCTTCAACATCTGGAAATATGACACTAGCGTTTTGAAAGCTTTTTCACCCATGTATGTGTATGTATACTTTAAGAAGGGAGGTATAACTGGGTGGGCATCGCTTGGTGGTATCGTGCTTTGTATAAACGGTAAAAATTCTTTATGCTGTTATGGCAGTTGATCCATCTTCTTTATTCTGATCAATAGTCTGAATACCGCTTTCGAACCATTTACAGGAACGGAAACACTTTTTGCTGATGTATCGCATTTCCCAGTCCTGTCCATACAGATTGCTTTCACTGTTGTTGTATTTCCTTGCCTTCTTTTAGCCTACTCTGGTCAAGCTGCCTACCTCATGAAAAACCGAGATCACGTAATAGATGCTTTTCATTACTCTATTCCAGGTTCGTTCGATCTATTGACTATAAAATGTAGCATAAACAGTTATGTTCTGGGTGTTTTTTGATTGGTGCCAAACTAATACGAAGTACAATTTGAATGTAAATATACATCAGAGGTTTAAGCCCTGTTTATATGGTAATTTCTGATTTATTTAATCATTTCTGCAGAGCACATATACTGGCCTGTGTTTGCGGTTGCAACTGCTGCTGCTATTGTTGCAAGTCAGGCCATCATAACCGCCACTTTTTCGTTAGTCAAGCAGGCCCTTGCGCTTGGCTGTTTCCCAAGAGTCAAAGTTGTATATACATCGAGGAACCGTCATCAAATATATATTCCGGAGATTAATTGGATTCTTATGATTCTCTGCATCTTAATAACAGTTCGATTTAGAAATCAAGCTGAAATTGGGAACGCTGCCGGTAAGTTCTTGCTCTTGTTTCCACATGCTACAGCTTCATGTCCTACAATAACATGTAATAAGCTATAACGTACTGAATGAACCGATTAAGTTCATCCTTTTCGATTACTTTCTTTCATACCTACAACTTTTCTCTCGAAGTGTTCAAATTTCCCATTTCAAGCTCACTGGTTGAAATGAAGATTGCATCAGCTAATGTAATCTTATGTGTTGTGACAGGGACGGCGGTTGTTATAGTCATGTTGGTAACCACATTTCTGATGATGTTAGTGATGATATTAGTTTGGCGCTGCCATTGGACTCTCGTACTTATCTTCAGTGTCTTAACATTTGTGGTGGAGGGCACTTACCTTTCGGCTGTACTCCCCAAGGTCAATCAAGGAGGCTGGGTTCCTCTTGTGCTTACACTGGCCTTCTTTATCGTCATGTATGGTTGGCATTACGGTACAGAAATACGCTATGACATTGAGATGCACAGCAAGGTGTCGATGGCATGGCTGCTTGGACTTGGTCCCAGTTTAGGACTGGTTCGGGTACCTGGGATAGGCCTTGTGTACTCTGAGATAGCGACTGGAGTCCCCCGCATCTTCTCTCACTTTATCACCAACCTGCCCGCCATCCATTCTGTTGTCGTGTTTGTCTGCGTGAAGTACCTTCCTGTCTGCACAGTCCCAGAAGAAGAACGGTTCCTTGTTAAGCGGATTGGACCCGAAAACTTCCACATGTTCCGTTGTGTTGTAAGATATGGCTACAAGGACGACCACAATAGGGACGACGAATTTGAGAAAAAGCTCTTTGACAATCTCTTCACATTCGTCCGGCTTGAGTCCCTGATGGAAGGATCTCCAGGCTCTGATGTATCTAGTATACTCAACCAGGACGCCATGTGGAACAACCACAGCAGCAGCATACCTTACTCGAATGCAGACCTGTCGATTACATCTGTAGACTCCATCGAACCTGATGATTCTCCGGTGCATATCGGCCAGAGTTTGGCCTACTCCTCTGTCCCGCCGAGCAAGCAGCTGGTGGAGCTCGACGGGATAGAGTTCTTGAACCGGTGTAGAGATGCAGGAGTGGTGCACATACTTGGGAACACTGTGGTACACGCTAGGGGGGGATCAAATTTTTTTAGGAAGGTGGCGATTGATTACCTGTATGCATTTCTTAGGAAGATTTGCAGAGGGAACAGTGTGTTGTTCAATGTTCCTCATGAGAGTCTCTTGAGCGTTGGACAGATTTTCTATGTGTGAAACTTTTTTGATAGTATAATTAACAATTGGTAATCGGTAAATCATCTTCTGCCTTCTCCATTAGACAAGCGATTCAACGTTCGGAACTGGACTACTAGAGTGTGGATTTTCCAGCCGGCGGATCCTCAACCTCAATTTCAAGAAAAACTTACATGCAATGGGGTGTGTATTTTTGCGTTCATGTATCAGTATCGGGTCAAGAACATTTTCACTCCAAAATTTGCTAAAAGAAGCATGATGATTGCTCTAGAAAAACACAAGCTCACTCGAACAAGACTACCTTTTTTTTTTTTTTGACAAACCCATATTCTAAAATACCCTGACCATAGTAAATGAGATTTGAACGTAAGTGCAGGTTATGAGGACTTGACGAATGAAGTAATTTCACTTTTATTTTAGAACCAAATATATGTTCTCTTAGTTTTAATCTAATTGGAACAATGATACTCAATTGAAAATCCGTAACCATCGGTCCCTTAACTCATCAAAATTTGCAGCTATGGTCTTTTTTATCAATTTTGTTAGAACTTCCTTCAAAATGAATCACGTGTCACACATGTAAGGCTGAATCAAGGGGCAAATATGAAAAACTAAATGAAAAAAATTGTAGCAATGATCCCTTCATTTAACCGGATAGGAGAAGTGGTCCATCGACTTTAATCCAATTGAAGTAATGGTTTTTAACGCAATGTAGCAATGATTCTTCCAACATGACTCATTTTGATAGAATTTTGAGGGAATTGACGAAAAGAACCATAGCTACATATTTCATGAGTTAGGGGACCAATGATTATAAAATTTTAATTAAAGTGTCATTACTCCAATTAGTTAAAATTAACTACAATTTTCTTCAATATAGAATGGATTAAAGATAACTTACCTTTTTAATGTTGTCAATTCACAAAGTCTTCCTTCGATGGTTGTGAAAAAGTGTTGAAAATAAATTTCATGTCGAAGAGAGGAGGGATCTTGCATGAATTTTTAAATAATTTGACCTACTTTTATATTGCCAGTTGATTTTATGATGAAACCCTAACTTCTTCATGGTATCATTTCATGGTATCAGAGCAGGTTATCTCACGTGTGAAGCCCAACGGCCACACATGTTCTAAATCACTTTGTTTACGTTGTCTACGTGTTAGACTTGAAAATTCGTTACATTTAATTTGTTTTTCTTAAAATAAAATGACCTCACTCACCCTTGATCCCACCCATTGATTTGTCTTGTCCTGTAGTTGCTCTAGAATATTTTATTGTGCTTAATTACAAAACTAATTTGAATCTCATGATGATATTCTTCTTCACTTAGAAGTGAGAAGTATTATGTTCGAATTTTATGGATGGCGAATTTGATACCAAATTAGGCTACCCATTATGTGGCTTTGCCGAACTCTCCCTCCTTAATGTAAAAATATCAATGTACTCAACAAAAAAACAAAATAAAAACAAAAAAATTATAAAACTAATAAGTCAACACCCACCCTTGATTTGTTTATTGTTTCAGCTGCTTAATAAAATAGACAGAGACATCGTGCCTATAACTGCCTACGTTTAGAATCTTCCATATTATTATTGAAAAAATGAGACTTGGAAAAAATAACGTTATCTGGTGAACGGTTTGTGGTCACGCTATTAATATAATTCTCCGTGAAGTCTTTTAATATTGGTCAACATGAGGGTGAAGTCTTTAACTCCTGTTCTGCCCTTAAAAAAAAAGAATTTTAATGAAAAGTCTGAGGTACTGTTTATTTTAACGAAAAATCATATTTTTATACTAAAAAATCAAATCTTGTATTATTCATTTTACTTTTTATTTTGTCCTTATCGTTGAGACTCAAAATTTTCAAGGATTTTTCATTAGTTTCACTTTAAAAATGGCGCGTGCTCATCTTTCTCACACTCGTTTCAATGCTCAAACGGCCACTCCAAGCCTATGAGGCAAAACCCACCTGGGAAGATCATCTGCAAGTTGCAACCAGGTAATAACACTAATAAATTTTCCATCTTTTCCTATTTTGTTTTGCATTTTCTGTGTAAAATTTATGTGCTGGGGGTTCTTGGACTGCCATGCATTCAATGGAGTTCTGGGTATTTGTTCAAATTTGGTCAGCTTGTTCTTCTTCTGTGTTGGATTTGTGGGCAGTGCACATTTGTTTTACTTGAACGATTTTTTTACTGTTTTTTATACTTGATCATAAGCATTTTGATTGGGGAACGCAGGTTGATGTTTAGTTATTTCTGGGATTTTTCCTTGGTCATTTGTTAGTAATTCGAAACCGGAATCTTCAGACTCTTACTGATATCGGATCTGGATTTTGTTCAGTTATGACCAAAGTTTCAATATAGAGGGAAGGATTGAAAAAATATAGTGGAGACGTGAATTGGTGGAAAGGAAGTGGAATCGCTTGAATTATCGGGTTTCGAATGGCTGCTGAAGAAAGTACCGATAAGAACGCAGCGTTCGGGTTTTGGATCAGCAGCTTGATCAGCCCATGGATGAAGAGGCTAAAAGGCTGAGGAACATGCATGAGGAAAAGGTATTATCTCACTCCCTCACGGCCTCACCCCTATCAAAACTGCGCAAATGTCAGTCCTGAAGGGTTTGATTTTTTGAAATAGGCAGTCGATTGATTTACATCTGTTATTGATTTTCACTTCTCGTCCTATATGGTTGAAAAGATTTCATTACATGTACTAGCGAATGTATCTGTCTATATCCGACATGGATGTAACATATCTTGAAGCTTTTGTGCTATTTCTGAACTATCTTTGCTGCCCTTGCTGATCACTTTTTTTTATGCCCTTCCAGAAATTTTCAGCATTAGCGCTCGTGCAGGTAGCATTTCAAAGCCTTGGCGTTGTATATGGAGATTTAGGCACATCTCCGTTGTATGTTTTCTACAATACGTTTCCTGATGGAATTGCTGACCCAGAGGATTTGGCTGAAGCTTTATCTGTTATTATCTATTCCCTCACCCTTGTTGTACTCCTGAAGTACGTTTTTATTGTCTGTAGAGCAAATGACAATGGTCAAGGTAATTGATCTCAATCTATCATACTTATATAAGCTCCTCCTCCCCTCCCTACCTTTCTAATCTTAGCATAGGCCTTGAACGCTATGCTCAGATCATTAATCTAAAGCATCTATGTTTGATTGTTGTGACAATAACATCGAGAGCTATAGATGCTGTTATGGTTTGTTCTAATTTAGTGCCAGATGAGGTAAATTTCTCTATTTGATTCTGCGATTTTCAGTTCATGTAAACTTATCCTCCTCATGGTTGCAGGTGGAACATTTGCTCTCTATTCATTACTCTGTCGATATGCAAAAATAAAGGCTATTCCTAACCAAGACCAAATGGATGAGGCACTCACAACATATAGTCGTTCTACGTTTGGTGAGAAATCATTTGCTGCAAGAACCAGGAGATGGTTGGAGGGAAATGCATTTATGCAGAGCACACTACTTATTCTTGTCCTAGTTGGCTCTTCCGCGGTGATTGGGGATGGGATTCTGACTCCAGCCATATCAGGTAACCATCTTCATTGTTGATGTTGTAGTATCATTCTTCTTCCTAACTATCCTCATTGGTAATTTGCTTAATTATCTAGTTTTGTTTTACGGGTATCCTAACACATTCAACATTCGTAATTAGTTCCTAAAGAAGTAACTTGTAAGAGAGCGTATTGCAATCCCTTGCACCCTGACCAATCTTAATTATGAAACTATTATCTTCTTTCTAATGGTAAAAGGTACTTCCTTGAATGCATTTTGACCAAGTAAGAACATTGAAATATTCTACACACGTTCTTTGATATTCTTTATCAGTTTTATTCGAAGCTGCTTAACCATATATATTCTGTTTGATAAGTACAAGCAACACTTATCGATGCTATATTTTGCAGTTCTGTCAGCTGTTGGGGGGATCAACGTACGCCACTCTGAGATTAGTAATGGTATCTCCATACGCTTGGCATAAAGATACTGTTTCATTTGTTTCACCTTGTTTGTTTCTCATCTATCATTTATGCCAAATCTAATCATAGCTACTCTTTTGTTATACAGAGGTAGTTGTGCTTGTTGCTGTTGTTATACTGGTACTTTTGTTTAGTATGCAACCTTATGGTACAGATAAACTTTGTTTCCTGTTTGCACCAATCGTACTCCTCTGGTTTCTCGTAACTGGAGGAATTGGCATGTTCAATATTTGGAAGTATGATAGAAGGATTTTAAAAGCCTTTTCACCTATATATGTATATCGATTTTTTAAGAGGGGAGGAAAAAATGGGTGGACATCCCTTGGAGGTCTTATGCTCACTATAACAGGTAAAATTTCAACATTCCATCCTCTTTTACTTATGAAATTCAAGCAAGTTTGTGACTTAGTCCCTGAAGACTGGTTGTGAACACTTATAGGTACTGAAGCACTTTTTGCTGACTTATCCAATTTCTCAGTCCCATCCATACAACTTGCTTTCACAGTGGTTGTATTTCCTTGCCTTCTATTAGCCTACTGTGGTCAAGCAGCATACCTCACGAAAAATCCAAATAACGTGTTTGGTGCTTTTTATCATTCCATTCCAGGTTTGTTTAATTTCTTGAACTATAAAATATAACATGAACACTTAGGTTTAGGTGTTTATTGTTTCCATGTTGCCGAAACTGATACCAAGTAAATACTTGTATGGTCAGAATACTGATACAAGATAGTATTTGAAAAACTAGTGTACGGTATTTTCTTCAAAACGTGAACGTGCTATGATACTCAAATTTCACGTAAAGTAGAAGTCTATTGTTCAAGGAAACCCTTTAAACTTTACATATATAGTTAGAGTGGCATGAATGCCCTGTATTTATGGTAATGCATTGCCGAAGGATTCTGATTAATCGTTCTTAACTTCTTGCAGACAGCATATATTGGCCCGTGTTTATTCTTGCAACTGGAGCTGCTATCATTGCAAGTCAAGCCGCCATAACTGCAACTTTTTCACTAATCAAGCAGGCGGTTGCATTAGGCTGCTTCCCAGGAGTCAAAATTGTGCATACATCAAGGAAATACCGT